ACTAAGATAAAGACTACAAATCTAATTCAACCCTGGGAGCCTGCATCAGTTTATACTTAACAGAAAACTGTGCATGAGATAGAAAGAAGCTAAATTAGATACACAAAAAATTGACCATACATATAAAGTGACAGCTGATTTGTGAAAGGTGAAAAAGTAGCATTGCCATGCAGAAGAGAATCAAAAAAGAAATATAAAGAAATTTTAAACAAGATCTGTTAAGAGGCTCCAAAACATGGGAGGAGAAATCTTTGAATGACTAATTCAGATAATCTCTGGTTCACCTAAACTTTGGAAGAGAATCAAATGAAATTATGGAAATATTGCCAGTGAGAACATTCATCGACTGATCTTTCCACAATGAAAAAAGAACTCACAAGACCGTATGAGTTCATAGTAAAAGAGCTCAATCTATCTGCTGCTCATAGTAAAAGTTGTCATATGTTTGAAAAGATACATTGACAGCTCCAAACATATACAGGGGGTAGTATAAAGTAATGGTAAACCAAGAAAAGTGAGAGAGTGGCGTTGTCAGTCTTCTAATCATAGCAACAAAGAGAAAAAGAATCGCACTTGTACATAAATAAGCATACCATACACACTGCTTTGAAACATGGATGACCGTTCATAAATGTCAAATCTTACATTAGTAATGGAAGTCTTTTGAAGTCAGAAATACCGCAATACTCCGGGGGGTGGGGGTGGGGTTATAAAGGATAACTCATGAATACAGTGATTGTTGTGGCAATGTCAAACAGACTCCTTCAGTCATTGACTAATTTTTGGATGAGAGGACAGAGGAGTATTTTCACTCAAGATGGAAGAGAGGGCACAGATTGGTAGAAGAATAAAAGACCATAATCATGCATTGATGCACAACAAGAATAAGAGTTCTAGGAAATACTTATAGTCCCAACCGGACCAAATATCTCCTTAGGGGAGCACTATAGGAGTTCTCTTTTTTAACAAATTGAAGAGAATTATATATTGAAGTAGTCATCATGATAAATGTAGAATGAAGTTTATTGTATCAAATCTTTGAGTTCTGACTGATGAAAATGAGAGAATAAGTTTTAATTAACAATTACCACTTAAGGCCGTCACGAACCCGAGGAAGAAATTCACGCTCAAACATGTGACTGAATGGCCCATGACCCACATAATGTAGTAATCCTAAATGAACTCAAGTAAGAACAATGGCCAGATGCTGCTGAGAAAAATGAACCTCAGCTGGTATATTTCACTCACCAGCAAGTTTCACGGTCTGTACATCAAAGGATTCAATGCCAAGCTCCCGTCCCTACAGCCATGGCATGTCCATCAAAAAGATCTTATCAAATATAGGGACAAGATAATGTAAATTATGCCATTAGGATATAGTCCTACTTGACAGGTCCTAAGTCTGTTCACAGCATCACTGGCCAGCCAATAGACCCCTAGGGAATGCTCAAATCGAGAGTGCACAGCCCCAGGATAGACCATGTATGTAAGACCTAGGAGAGAAATTGCGACCGAGTCAAAATTACAAGTTTATGTCCCAAATGATGGTAACGCCACGAAAATAAAAAGTTCACAAATGATAGAGAGCGCATAAACTTCCTGAAAATGTTCTAACCACATTACTTATATCGGATATGAACATCAACATGGAACAAAAAACAAATCTTCCTTTATAAGTTTAGTGGCTTTACAATTTGATCAAAGTGACATTTGTTAACCCAAAAGAACCAAATTGCTAACAGTAACTTTAATTGATAATATACCAGAACTTAGCTATCCGCCTTTCCTAAAAGAAGGTTAGTAAAAGACAACTTGCAGTTATGATGTGCAAAAATAGATGACGATATGATGAAGTCGTCTGAAACACATGCATGCTGAGAGAAATAGTTGATGGTGAGAAATCTTGTTTCTTACTTTATTTTAGCCTTTCTCTGAAAAAATTATTCTTCGGAAGAATTTGTCCTTTCAAATTAAGTGCAAGTTGACACTAAAATAACAAAGTCAGAGAGCCAAGCTAATGGTAGTCCAGATGCCCGCACCATCATGCGGCTAATTGACCATGAAAGTCAAGTTTAGCTAATTTATCATACCAGATACTTAGAAACCTATTAAGATTCCCTAATATAGAAGGACATAAAGTGGATACACCAGCGGCAATTTGTTCAACAACCGTTTGAAACACAAAATGTAACCACACAACCAATTCTATTCTACAAGCCTGAAAGATGTACATTTGCAAATCTTTAAAAACTTAATTTCACCAGTAATCATTATCCTAAACATTAGAGAGTTTTCTAATCAGCTTTACGCATGCACAAAAAAAAATTAAAAAGAATAAAAGAAATAAAGAATATACTTACCTAGCTGCTTCAAATCACGAAGGTGGTAACATACACAAGAAAGCACAATTGGAATTATTTCCAGCCAATCAAAAATATCTGGAGCAGGAAAAAACAAATTAAGCTTGCCTCTGAAATTGTTCGGTGTCAATGAACTTCAGAGATAGCTGCAATTAAAGAGCAGAACTGTAGTTAAATATTACTAAGAATATAGTAAATCTGATATCTTAATCAATTAAGTGCATATATCAGGGAAACCATATATCATGCATGCATATATATACTCTATGTTACTTTAACAAACTCTATTTTCAGCTTTTTGTGAAGAAAAAACTATTGCTCAAAAAATAATTACCTATCCACTAAATAAGTGTCTACGACTATGAAAAGAGATAGTCACATTGGTCGTAATCATATTTAGCGAGACATAAATAAAATAAAAAACATATTTAGCCCCTACTCCATATGCCTTGCTACGCTAAGCATGGTAACATTAGCCGTTTATAGTCCCAAACAGAGACTTGACTATCAGCGGCTCCTCTGTTTTCTAACCAGAAAAGGAAACTGTTTCCTTCTTTACAAACTACTACACATATTTTCGCGTACACGCATAGCATACAACCAACTATAAGCCACGGAACTTGAATAGAAAAACACTTCAAATCATCAATTCAATATCTTCAATTGAAGCCAAAAAAAATATTTAATATAATTTAAATTTTTTTTAAAAAAGCAAAACACTTCAAATCATCGAATCAATTGAAAGCATAAATTAAGTACAATTTTAGAAAAAGCAAAGATATACACCGTGTTCGGAAACAACAACAGCGTGCAAAGCATTACAACAGAGTTATAAATCATACGCTACGAAAATTCACGCTCGAACAGGAAATATAAAATTATCAAATCAATTTCCTCGAATCAAAAGCAAAAATAGAAGAAGTAAATATAAGTATTCTGAAGAGCAAACACGTACTCCGATTTTGATAAGCATTACAACACGCGAAGCAGAATAACGGAATCAGAAAGCATAGGCTTTGAAACTTAACCTTTCTAGATTCAAATTATAAAGTCAATTACCTAATTTCAAAAGCAAAAAGAGCAGAAATTAACGTGCTGAAAAGCAAACACGATCATAACATGCAAAGCAGAATAACGGAATTAGAAAGCATATGCTATGAAATTTCAACTCAAACAGGAAAAGGAAACTTAAATTGCCGAAACAAATTTGTTCATTTCGAAAGCAAAAAAGAGTAAAAATGAACTAAAATTTCTGTTAAGCAAAAACGAACTCCGATTTTGATAAGAATTAGAGGATGCAAAGCAGAGTTAGAAACCGTACACGATCGAGATAGATGTTGCCGGGGACATTGTCATGAACATGTTTGGAGAATCGCCGATCGCCGACGAAAGAGGTGGCGGAGGTGTAGGTCAGGAAGTCATCGTTGTTACAATCTCCCATTTGTAGCTGTTTCAGGTATATACTGTTCTAGAAACTTCTGGAGAATTCCGGAGATAGTACTTTGGTTCTTAGTGTGAAGGTTTTGATTGAGAGAGGGTTTTGATTGAGAGAATTTGGTTGTGTTTAGCATTTCTGCTTGCTTTTATAGGGGGGAGAGGGGAGCAGGTAGGTACAGGGGAGAGTGGAGAGGGAAAGGCGTCAGGTACAGGAATATTTGCAGTAGTGGTGAAGTGATGCCGCCAAATAAAGTAAATTTCTTAGTCTACGCGCGGTGGAAGAGCGTGCTAGAACCTCGACTTTATTTACTTTTTCTTTTGTATTTTCGTGTTAGACAACGCATTTCGAATGACAACAAAGGGATGGTTCTGCTATGAATTCTTTTCTCTCCGTTCAATACCTGCATGAATTTCCGACTAATTTGGATTTATATCACATAAGGTTTGCTAAAGTGAAAGTGTTTTCCATCAATTTTTACATAATTAAGTCTCAAACCCGAGCTCTTCATTTTGCTTTATTTTAAAGTTTTTCCCTTTGATCCCCATTTTTTGGAGCTATTGCTCCTTTGGTGACTCGAATCATAATAATTGGTGTGTTACGTCCCTCAATATTACGTCGATATTACGTCCCACAGTACTACGATGATGCTACGCTTCGCAATATTAAATTAAGACGATGTTGCACCCTGTAGTATTGTACGTTGAATTTGTCGTAAGGAAATTGATATTTGTCCAAGGAAAAGATTATTTGGAGATTATAAGGATTATGCTATTTCAAACAAGTGAAGGATAAATTTGTGAAGGTGAGAGGGGAAGCAAGTCCAAGAAAATGAATTTTCGTCCATGTTTGGCATGTTAGGATAAAATACGGGCCGAACGTTAATACCCGATATTTATGGACTAGTATCATACAAGGTACCACATGATCATGATAGTAAGCACTACAAGAAAAAGCCTTATCTAAGACCAACTTTTAGGGACGAGTTAATAATCCCGTCGCAAAAAATATATTTATTGGGACGAGATTATATTGCGGTCCCTAATGCTTTATTTTATTGCAAAGATATTAAATCTGGTCCCTAAAAAAATTAATAACTGGTACCAAATTATAATTGAGGGCCTTGAGGTGAGAAAGTGCCGTCAAATATTATACCAAAATATTAGAAAACTATTGTTTTCTAAAAAACAGGCGCTAAAGCTAATTTATTGAAATAAAAGTCTAAAAACTAAAACTCTCCGTATTCTCCAGAAACAAGCGCGCACAGATTTGCCCTGATACTCCGCCTAGATCTAGAGCCCACATCGCTTATCTGCATTTTCTCAAAACTCAAATTGTGAATTTCTGCCCTAATATCCATCTCGCCTTTGAGATTAATCCAAGGTATGCTTCCTCTTTCAAGTTGCTCTTTTTCTTCTCTAAGTTGTTCTAAATCATTGATTGTTATTCTAGTTGTTGTTCTTCTTCTTCTACTACTACTACTACTACTTCTCTAACATAAAAAAAACGGGTAAGGTTTCGTACTCTAGTATTTTTTTTTCTTTTGTATAATCAGTGGAAAGATTATTGGGTACCTGCTACCGTCTGTCTATCTAAGGTTTCGTACTCTGATATTTGAGTTGGGTTCCTAATTGGATAATTCAATTTCTGAAGTGTATTCAAGTTTGTGGCATATTAGTTTTATGTATTCAGTGAGAGATTTATCGAGCCAAAACGGGGACTTGCATGTATACTGTCATATTGCAATGTTGATTTACATCTGAAAAGATACTGTCATATGTGATGGAACAGCGTGTATACTGTCATATGTATTTTAGCATACCTAAAAAATAATTGCATCTAGAAAGAAGGAGTTTTTTAGTTGGGCTCGAGTGTTTTGGATGAATAAAGACTCTATGTTGATAAGATAAGAAAATTCAGTAGGTTGACAAGAAGTTATTAATATTTTCTTTAATTGTTCTTATTGTTCTGTTCTTCTGAAGCAAAGTTCAGCTTTCCTAGAATCTATGTTCACAGGAAAAATAATTTACTTTGATGTAAGAATTGCAATTCCTATTCAAATTAATTGTGTCGTAAAGTATATTGTTTATGATTTTCTTGTTGTAAGTACTTATTTTGGTCTCGGAGCAGGCTATAAGAAACTGTGCATGAATGTTTTAGGAAACAACATCTTTAATTACAAGTTAATTGATAATCTTTTGTCTAGATTAGTGCCATCTTATTGTATATTGCAATGTTCTAACAAAGGTTGGCATGTAGTGAGGAAGACTCAACCTCGTGATTCCTATGAGATTGTAAAACAAATAGATGATGATATTGTAGATTTACAAAATCCTTCACAAAAGAAATGAAAAAAAACTGATGAGGTGAAGTATCTATTTATGAATTAGTATATTCATTGTTACATATACTGATGGCATGATTTCTTTTATTACTATATTGTCACACGTTGTCTTACTATTTTTTACTTTTGGCTCTTTCCAGGTTCAATATGAAACCATCAAAGACTGAAAATGAGGCGAAATCAACTATGAAGAGTATAACCAAATATGCGTTCGTCCTGCTGGGTGCTATAAGAAAGGGACAATGACGAGGACGAAATCTTAAATCTTTGGTTAAGAAAGAGAATATGCCAACTAAGAGTTTATTTCCTCAATCTAGTGATCTTGTTAAGCAATACATCCAAACAATTGAAACAAGCAAGGTATTTTATATCTACTGTTTTTAATGTGTACAAATGAATTTTAATATTTAAATATTAGTAATATGATTTCGTTTCGCCAGGTGCTATTGGGAAGGGACGAGGACAAGGGCTTAAAAGCTCTACCATGTCTGCTAGTCAAGGAACGGGAACGATGCATAAAAACTCCATTGTTCTTGAGAAAGAGTATATACGAACTGATATTCCATTGCCTCCATCTATTGATCAAGTTAAGCAATACACCCAAAAAGTTGAAGCAAGTAAGTTTTTCCAAATCTATTTTTTAATTGCATATATAACTGAAATCAAATGCTAAACTAAATGGTTTTTTGGTCCAGGTTCTATAGGGAAGGGACGGGAGCAAACTCCTAGATCTTTGTGCTCATCTTTGGGGATTTCTAAAAGCACAAGATCGAATTTTACCATGCCTTGTAACCAAGAAATGCGAACAATGAATAAAAACTCCTTGGTTCTTGAGAAAGAGCATATGCAAACCAATATTTCATTGCCTCCATCTACTGATCAACTTATGCAACACTCCCAAGCAACTGAAACAGGCATGATAGTTTGAATCCATATGTTCTTAATTTGTAGAACTGAATTTTATTGCTATAGCTTTTACCAAATTATGCAGTCGTAGGTTCTTCATATAATTCTGGAAAGGTAAGAAAAGTTCGAGGGAGGAACAAGTGCAAAGAAGTTGCATCACTTGAAGTCGGACAAAAGCTGAAAGTAACCTTTTACAATAATCGAATAGATGGAACAAATAGCAAACTGTTTTCGAGGCACTTGGGAAGAATCGTTCGTGACCGTAATATGTGTCCGTTGGGATTATTATCGTGGAGTGATATTAAGGAAGAAAAGCTGAATCACATGTGGGCAGCTATTGAGGTAACAACTGTAGCCAAGAGTATGACTGTGCAATTTGAGTCATTTTAAGTCTAAGCAGCTAGATAATAATTTTGACATGGCTGATAAATCTGGAAACATGACTGAGGAAATGATATTTATACAGTAAAGATGTATATTATTTAGTTGAATACTTGTGTTCATGTTTGTGCCTCTATGTAGGAATCAAATACCATAATGCTTACAGTTATTGGCTATTTTTTACTGAAAGCAGTACACTGGAAAGTGAATCTCACACTGTCATAGAACAATTTCTGGTTTGCTGCCTATTTTTTAAAACAATTACTCTTCTTCAGTTCTAAATGTGCACTCGGTCAGTTCTTGTGTTTGAGGGCATATAAGATGCCTTGGGCATAGGGATACAAATATGGCATTTGCTGTTTAAATATTCTTCAATTCAAAATTCATTGCTTCTAAGGATAACTTTTGTTGGCACTGGATATTTAACTTTTAAGTTGTAACTCTGCTAAGTGACAATTATTGTCCAAGTAGAACATTTGCATACGTTCATATTTTGTAGATCTAATAAAGAACTAACTTTTAATATGAACATTACCTTGACAAGAGTTGAAGTTTTGGCAGAATATTAACTATAAATTGATGAAAAAGTATATGTTTCTCTGGTTTAGTTGGTCCAAAATTAGCCTAAGCTAAAATGATCAAAGTGAAGAATGAATCTAACTATTTCAATGTACAAATATATGACAAGGAAGTTGAATGAATGAATGAAGTTAAGTGTGAATGGCCAAAGTCACCTAAATTTATTGTTTTCAATCGGTTGTGAGTTATTACTTGATCTGTTTGTTTGTTTAGGTTATTTCTGGTTCTGGACTTCTTCAGTTGGCACTGAACTTACCATATGTTTATAAAGTTCCATTTTGCAATATGTTTCTCTGGTTTAGTTGGTCCAAATGTGCTCTGTATAATATAAACTCAACCCATATATATTCGGATTATTGTAGGATAAATTTTAGAGTGTTGACATGAATGATCATCGTGATCATATCTTCGGATGGATGAAAGAGTTATGGAACAAATGGAGAGGACACTTGCATGCAAAATATGTGAAGGATAAGCCAATCCAACAGGCTCTTAAGAATATTCCTAAGGGAGTAGACAAGAGATTATACAATCAGACTATACTCAAATTGAAGAAATAATTCAATCAGATTCATCTCTACCTAGCATAGAGATTGTAGAAAAATGTTGTGGACCTCAAACTCGTAGCCATATGTTTGGCTTTGGGGGTGGAGTAAAGGCGAAAGACTTGAAAGGTGGAACTTCCTCAAAGGCTGAATTGTTGTCCGCGCTACGTTCAACTCGAGAAGAGAACAAATCTTTAAGTGAGGAAAACAAATTCTTGCAGGAGCGCTTGTCTACCTTAGAAGATGACATGAAAGAAATGAAGAAAATGAAAGAGTTCTTCGCTGCTCAACAATCACATGTCCCGCTTACGACATCGCCTGTTTCAACTGAATGAACACTGTTTTGTCTGCTGGCCAAGTTAGTAACAATATACCTAACTTTTTAATTTATATAGTCGATTTCTATATTACAGATTCTAGTAGTTTACTTTTTAATATTTTTTGCAATTCATCAGTAGTACCTGAGAATGGCAAGAAGAAATAGCCTACAGAATAGTGATTGAAGCTAAATATGGATTGAATGTACAGTGGTGCAGTACTTAGATGCTCGCGGATCTGTTTTGACCCCTTACATATTTTGAACAACTAACTTAGCAAGACTCTGTGCATACTGTTTGCTTCTCCTCCTAGACACAATTACATCAATTATTAGTTGTTGCACTAACATCAGTGATACATGCTTAGCAGTTCCTTTCTACGTTTAATGACACAATGGACCAACCAAATCTAGTCGACCTAACAGCAGATTGTAAGAAACAGCCACATCGAGCACCTGGAATTCCATAGTAAATTCAACTGGTCCTATTGTAAGCTCGAGCACTATGTCCCCGACTGAATCTTTCCCTCCACCGTCAAATCCCCAAACGCAGATACTGTTCTTGTGAATTCTTTCATCATCCACCTTCAACTTGTTCAGAGTGGAAAGAGGGCAAATATTTGCACTGGAACCGTTGTCAACCAGTACCCGAGTAACAACGGAATCTTCACATTTCACCATCAGATAGAGGGCTTTATTGTGCTCAGTACCCTCCACGGGCAACTCATCATCACAAAACATGACTCTGTTTACCTCAAATATCTTGTTAGCTATCTTTTCCAAGTGGTTTACTGAGATTTTATCAGGAACATGGGCTTCATTCAAGATCTTCATCAAAGCCCGACGGTGCTCATCTGAATGGATCAATAATGACAATAGCGAGATCTGAGCCGGTGTCTTCCTTAACTGCTCCACAATGGAATAATCCTGCACTTTCATCTTTCTCAGAAATTCCTCTGCTTCTTCCTCGGTCACATCTTTCTTCACCAACACTAGGTTACCTTTGGAGGTCTTAGCTTTTCTCAACTCTTCGGGGGCAAAGCATCTCCCCGATCGAGTCAAACCATGGGTCTCACACACTTCTTCTTTAACCTCTTTCCCCTTGTAAGTCATTGTCACTCATTCATAATTCCATGGGACTGCCTTGCTGTTGACTATCGGTAATTGAGTTACCAGTTTGATAATGGCAGGATCTGTGCGGGCGCCCTTCACAATTACTACAGGCTTGTTTGTCACTCCTGGCACAACCACTTTTGCTCTTCTATGTTTTCCTGCAACGTCACTTGAGGACCCCTTCTTGACCTCCACAAATGGTTCATTATTTGCCCCATTCAACTTGATCACAGACTTCTCACTTGTTGACTTTTCAAACGGCTTAGATTCACTAGCCCGAATCATCATGACGGTTTGCGAAGGCTTCTTAGGCTCCCCTACCTTATGCACTATCTCAATCATATTTGTCTCATGATAGGTCGGCAACGGGTTCTGGTTGATATTGGGTGCCTCCGGGGCTTGGACCTCAATCTGATTAGTATCAATGAGCTCTTGAATAGTTGTTTTCAATTTCCAACATTTCTCTGTGTCATGACCCGGGACCCCTGAACAATACTCACAACTCACCGAGCGGTCAAGATTTCTAGAAGAGGGATTTGACAGTTTAGCCTCGATCGGATTCAACATACCCAACTGTCTCAATCTATGGAATAAACTAGTATATGATTCTCCCAATGGAGTGAAAGTCTTCTGCTTTTGCAACCTCTCATTCTTAAAGGCTTGATTTGGCCGAAAACTTGTTCCAGGGGGGATTTCAATAGGCTCTTGGGGGTGGATAGGTAAGTGGAGCTGAGTATGGATTTTGTGGAGTTGGCGCACGCCATTGTGCGTAAGCAGGAGGTTGGGTATAGATTTGTGCGTGATGGACGAAAAAATGGGGATCTGGCGGTGGGTAGTAGTGTTGTGGTGGGCTATATGGAGTGTGGGGGTAAGTTTGATGATAGGGTCGAGACGGGTTGTAGTAATGTGGGGGACCCCTGGATCCGACCCAAGCTCCCGACTCAATTATCGCAACATCCTCTTTCTTCTTCTTCCCGAGTACACCCTCAGTACCGTTTTGAATGGCCTGGGTGGTCGCTTTGATTGCTGAATAACTCATTATCTTGTTGCACTTGAGTCCTTCCTCAATCATCTTGCTGAATAACTGATTTTGTAGCAAGATGAGAGAGGCTTTGGCTAAAATATGTCATCAGCAATTCATCTCTTCCTCCTGCCTCTCTCATCTTGCTACAAAATCCTCTTAAGTGTGCTACTGGGTCAACATGCCCGTCGTATAGATCAAACTTGGGCATCTTGAACCCTGCTGGTAACTGAACCTCTAGGAACAGACATAAATCTTTATAGGCCACACTTACTTGACCCCTCAACCCCCTCATATCTCTTAATGATTGTTCTAAGCTTTTGACCTTTCTATCATCTCTTCATGCTCGGGATTCTTGGGTGGCTTCTCGGTCTCCGCCGGGAGATCAAGATGAGGGGTGTAAGAACATGGTTCCGGGACTTTGAAGGTGGGTTCAGGGGGATAATATTTGTTGTCGTGAGTCTGGAATAGAGGTTCACTGGAAGATCGGTGTAATGAAGCGGGTGAAGGTGCCACAAAAACAGGAGTGATTGGTGGAGGAGGGTAAGAGACTTGTTTGGGTGGTGGAGCTTGAGAAGTATGGGAAGTAGTGCTATAGCATTGTTGGTAGAGGGGAAAGGCTGGAGATGAGTTCACAGTGGGAGGCTCCTAAGGTTGGGCCGATGGTGGGATATAAGCAGGGTTGGCGGGATAAATCGGTGGTGGAAGCCCCTTTGCCCAGGCTTGGTACATTTCAGCCATTTGCTGCTTTTAACTTATACATTTCTTCCTTCATCGCATTAACATCAAATTCTTCCCCCTCTTTTGACGGGTCAACGATACTTGTCTCCAATTCTTGGTTGGCCATGTTCAGCTTGTCTTTTGATCGGGTATTGTATGAGTGAATTGCCAGAATGCCAATCAACTAACCACCTGCCTGAACTCAATACATCAACAACAACCTTGTTAGCGATTAGGGCGTTGACAGATTGGTGACCGCACATTTTGGGGAATGAATGCACCTAAGCAGTTAGCTGTTTCTATTATGCATTTGATCGGCTGCTTGCGTCATCTCGACTTTTCCATTTACAACTTTCCTTCTTTTTCTCTTTCTTTTCATTCTGGCCTTTGCTTTTCTTTGTTTTTATCCTCTCATTTCCCTCTTGTTTTGCCATTGTTTCTTTCTCTTATTTTTCTCTCTTTTCTTTTCTTTTTCTCTCTTGTTTCCCCCCCTTTTTTTTTGGTTATGGTCGAATCCTATGGAGATTTCCTACATATCATGACCCCGCATGAATCAGACCAAGCGTAGTTCTGGGAGATAAGTGTGAAAGTAAATAATGAAACAATTTTTGGGGATATTCAATTTTCATAAAGCAAATGCTTTGATTACAAAGACTCAAAACTAACAGACTCCAAGAGAAACTAACAGACGCTGATGAAAGGACGACATACAGACTCCAAAAATAAATTATCATACTCCAATCAAAAGAAATTACAGACTCGAAAACAATTGACAGACTCAAACAGAAAAAAAATACAAACTCAACACAACTGACAGACTCTAGCGGAAAAGGAAATACAAACTCAAATGAAAAATCATGAATACATCAATGCTCCTGGTGCCTGCGGGACATCATTCGGTCTCGCCGCGGGCCTATATGCAAGATCCCTTTGAAGTCGGTCCAAATCGCTCATTATCTGTTTAACAAATGTCATCACTGCTGCGAAGAAGGTGGTGCGAGTCATATCCTCACAAACTTGGCACTTCACAACAATGTAATCGGCGTTGTTTCTAATTCACTCTCTTATGACACCATTTTCTTGTAACAAACGCCCGATCTGTTGGGCCCTGGCTTCCAAAGTTTGCTCGACCACATGATTCTGCTCCTGAAGTTGTTGCAAATCTATTTCTAATTGTGCCAATGTTGTATAACAATGTTCTCTTTCAACCTTGAAGTCTTTAGCCTGTTTGATCATCTTGTTTTCCGTGGCGACGACCCTTTTCTTTAATCCCGCGACCTTATTGTCGTACCTTTCTTTCAACTTCTTAACTAGGCGTGCTCGTTCATCTGCGTTTTTAACCAATTGCTTTCGAGCCCTGGCTAGTTCACTTTCTGCTTTGTTCAAATCAAAACTATAGTCACTCACTTTCTGCCTCAGGCTACCTATAAGTTTTTCATCTTTGGCACTTCGGGTGGGGTTTTCTGCCACTACTTTCATTTTTTGAATTTAGGCTCGAAGGGCCTCGTTTTGTTTGGCTAGCTTTTTCTTTTCACCTTCGTCTGCCGCGGCTTGTAAACTATTCTCGAATTGAAGTTATTTGACTTGTTTCTCCAACTTTCCTATTGTGGCCCTGTACTCATTCTCCTTGGCCAACCAAGCCCACTGTTCTTACGATGCCTCAACGAATTCCTGAATGTGAGGCCTTTTGGCTGGTCTTTCTGGTTCGACCCTTGCAGTGTTCTTCTTTTTATACCTGGCAAGATAGGCAGGTGAGACGTCGCCTCTAGATAGGTCACGTACTCGAGTGTTCACAGTCAAATACTAGCATTTGTTCCAAATAGAACGAACTATTTCTTCATGAAATTGGCCGTCGGAACTAACCTCGACCGCATAAACGCTAAGATCTTTATCTGGGTGCATCACCTGACACCTTCCCAACTGTCTCATCACCCGGTAAGGAGCGTAGGGCTGAATACCTCGCAGACCTATTAGGAGGAAGTAAGGACCAGTGGCGGGCATATACACAATTTCTTCAACAGGAAGCCAACCCAATGTCCATTCTATTTGTCCCACAGTAATGGAATGAAGGCGGGATACCCAATCTCCAAACCCCTCTGGCAGCTTGAACCCTGAAATCCTTGTGTCAAACTCTTCAATGCAACTTTTCTTTGTATATCCATAACTCATATACTGAGGGCAATGACACAGGTGTTCAATAATCCACATCTATAATAGCAAATTGCATACCTCGAAGAAATCTGCCCCAACTTTACATGTTGTGAGAGCCCGGTATATCTCCAGCCACCCGCAAGTCGATCTTCCCGTCTTTTCGGGGAAACACCACAATGCCTAGGAAAGCTACCATGAAGGCGAAATGCCTATGCTCATCCTATTTTGTTCGGTTTCCTTTGCTACAAACCTCGCTTTCCGGATCATTGA